ACATAATGATTAGTACCTGTGATAAATTTCAGCATCTTCATCCCCACACACCTCCAGTACAAAAAAAAAAGAAAGGGACCGCCACAAGGGACAGACACCTCCCGACAACCTTGACCTTTTTCCCCACGACCGACCCGCACTACGAGCGGAAATACTACTTCCCCGACGCGCGAGCTGGAGCGCTCGCTGCGCTTCGACATGAATGGCGACGACGTGATCGTCTTCCTGCACATCCAGAAGACGGGCGGCACCACCTTCGGCCGCCACCTCGTGCAGAACGTGCGCCTCGAGGTGCCCTGCGACTGCCGGCCCGGCCAGAAGAAGTGCACCTGCTACCGGCCCAACCGCCGCGAGACCTGGCTCTTCTCCCGCTTCTCCACCGGCTGGAGCTGCGGGCTGCACGCCGACTGGACCGAGCTCACCAGCTGCGTGCCCGGCGTGCTGGACCGCCGCGACCCCGCCGCGCTGCGCGCACCCAGGTGAGCCCACCCCCGCGGCCACGCGGTCCGCCCGCCGCTGCGAGCGCCACCGGCCACAGCCGTCTCCCCTCGCTCTCCCCTCCTGCCCCAGTCGCTCTCCTCCCCCCTCTCCCACGGGGCGGGTAGTGCCTGGGCCCCCGCCTGGGAGGACAGTGGATTCTGGGCGTGTGCTCCCACCTGGCGTGTGCGCTTTCCTGCGCCGCTCTCCTGAGGCGCTCCCACCCAAAGCTCAAGGAGGAATGGAGGGTGCTCTCCCTACCCTGTGGGCCCCCAGCCTGCCTCAGGGGCTGGGAAGGCCCTGCCCGCTTGTGTGCGCCCGTGGAACAAAGGCCGAGTGTGGCCTCGGCTGCTGGTTCTCGGAGTTGGGCCCCAACCAAGTGTGAGCTTGCCCTGAAAGAGGAACAAAAGCCAGGTTGGGGGGAGCTGAGCTGGTCAGGGCAGGTGCAGCCAGACGCCTTTCCTGGGGACCCCTATCCTGTGGAGGTGGGGGCACCCGCAGGACGGTGCTGGGTTGTGGGTGGTTCAGGCTGGGAATCTTCCTCCTGTTTGGGGTGCTCTGAGGCCTTCTCCCCAGAAGGCGGCTGGGAGGCCGGGGGTGCAGGCTCTGCTGCTGTGGGTCTGCCTCCCCGTTGCCTCAGGACTGTGCGAGCCGCCCGCGTGGGGATCTGGCTGCTGTTGTCTTGCTTGTCGGCACTCAGGAAGGCCGGGTCTCGGGGATCTGGGGTGAACACTGCTCCCCCTGCTCAACCCTGCAGTCCTTTTCCGGGGTCTTTCCCAGGCTGTTGGGAATTGGGGCCCTAAAGCTGGTGGGAGTTGGGCGAGGATATCTCCCCCCTTTCCCTTGGCTGTGTTGCTCCCTCCCCCACAAAAAAGCCTCTCAACCTGAGAGAGAACATTCCTGGTCTCCAGTAGGCAGGTGCTGATGGACCTGCCTCCAGGGCCCCTGAGCCTTGCTTTCTGCCCACACTTGGCCAGCTCCGCACAGATGCACTTTCCTGGCATAATTCCCCCCAGCCTTCCCCCCAACCCTTCCCCCAGCCTCCCCCACGCACACACCCGTGGTTGATCCTCGCAGTACTAGACTGAGCTTGGCCTGGGGGCTTGCAGCTCTCTGCCCACCAGGGCTGTAGGCCCCTGGAACTGGGCACTGCCCAACCCAGGTAGGCCTAGGCAGGCACGTCCCTGTCCGTAGGAGGGGGATGGGGACAGACACCATCCTGTCTGCCAAAGGGAGTTACCCCGAGAGCCCCTTAGGGAGCATGTGCAGAGCTGGCTGGCCGGCTGGCTAGGGCCTGAATCCAGCCAATGGCCTTGGCCCTAGTTTGCAACCAAGTTGTTCTTCCTGTAGCCCTGGGGTCACAGGGTGAAGGTTCCTGGCCTCTTTGTTCTGGAATTTGTCCTGATGAGCAGATCAGGCTCCTCACACACAGAAGGGGGAGGTCAGGTGGAGCTGATTGCTCCCCACCCCACCCCACCCCACCCCACCCCTGTGCCGCACCAGGCCCCCAGGGCCCACCCAGGGTGGGTATGTAACAACAATGGAAAACAAATGCCGGGCCTGGTCAGCCAGATGCCTGTTGCTGGGGTGGGCTGCCAGCACCCCCCCCCCCAAATTGCTGAGCTCAGCGGCAGCAGCCTGTGGAGGGGGTGCTAGGGGTGCTGAAGGCCCTGCTCTGTAGTCCACTCGGAGCTGTCGGTGCCACCAAGCAGGTGACAGCTTTGCCTTTGCTCTCCCTCCTGTCACTTCTGTTCCAGACACTAGACTAGATAGATTGCTTTTTAATGAGCTTCCTGAGAGGCCGAGTAGCCGGGCCGGTCCTTGTGCGTGTACGTGTGCCTGCCCTGAAGTCGCCTTGAGCCGCCCTGCTGGTGGGCTGGGCTGGGCTGGGCCGCAGCTCTCCCCTGTTGCAGTGGCCCGGCACCTCTCAGGAAGGAGCGTGCCTGCCCTCCGTGCTCCTGTCCTCCTGCGAGCCAGGGGTTGGTGGTGCCTGGTTTCATGAGTCTCGGATGTCACCCTCACCTCCTTCCAGTAGGGCCAGGTCCCACCCTCCCCGTGGATGTGGCACGCCCCCAGCTGGGGTCTGAGGAGGGGTGGCCCTGGCTCCTAGAGCTGTCCTGACACGGCCCTTGGGGGTCTGGGCCCCAGTGAGGACCCTTTCCTTCTCAGGCCGGCACACTGCAGGACCTGGGCCCGTGCCTTTCTGTCACGAGGGGCACTTCGAGAATTTCTCCGCCAAGCCTCTCCCAGCTCCTGAGGCCAGGTCTCGGCCTAGGGGAGGTGGGCCTTGTGCAGGAAATGAGGTGCTCCTCGCCCTAATCTCCTGGGTCAGGCCGGGCGTTCTGAGGCCTGTGCTGAGGAGACGCATAGAGATGGCAGGTGTCCCGCCTCCCTGGGATGTGCTCCCTGACCTAGAAGAGAGTAACAGGTGTGTGAGTGAGGCCTTGGCGGGTCCCCGTGTGTCCTGTGTCCGTAGGGGGGAAGGGAGGGGGAGCTGCTGCACTTGCTGGCATCAGCCGGGAGGGCTTGTAAGGGCAGGACTGGCCTTGGAGAGGTGCGGCTGCTCCTGAGCAGCAGGCAGGTGGCTGACTGTTGCCAGGAGCTGCTTTGGTGAGTGTCTCCGCACCCCGTACTCCTGTGTCACCTTGTGGGCTCGGGTGGTGCTCTCAGGGCCTTCCTCCTTCCGTCTGCCTGATGGGACAGGAGCCAATGCCAGGTCTTGCCTGGGTGGCCCTGGAGTCACGTAGGCTTCATTGGGACCTGAATGTGGCTTCTGGGCCACCTTCATGGGACCCTGGCTTGGCCCCTGGAGTGTCCCCGGCTGCGGTGCTGCCTGCGGAGACTGCGTCCTTGCAGGAGGCACCGCGCCCAGTCAGTAGAGTGTGCCCTCGGCTCTGTGCCTCATCTCCGGTCCCACGCCCTCCCTCCACCATCCTGAGGTCCTCTGGTTCCAGAAATAGGCCTGTGCTGCCCTCCGCCCGGCTTGCCCTCATCTCTTCCCACTGTTCGGCAGGCTACCCCTCTCCCGCAGCCCAGCTCTGCTCCTCGCGCGCCAGGAAGCCCGCCCTGGCAGCACTCGGTGGTGCTCTGCATCCTGTCATGTCCACAGAACGTTGGCACCAACAAGAATTCTCTCCATCAGGACCCACAGCCTCTCTGGGAGCTGTGCTCCGCAGGCTTCACCCAGACAAGTCGGGTTTGGCCTTGCGTGCAGTGCCAGCCCCAGAGAAACACAGCAGCTCCCGCCTTGCCTCCCCGGTCACTTCTCTGTGCTCAAGGGGACCAAGCCCGCCTTTGCCTGCAGCAGGGAGGCGTCACCTGACGCACAGGGCTGGACGGTGAACAGGGCCCCGCCTGAGGGACCTGGTTGGGTGTCACAGTGGCCTGAAGCACCGAGAGAGGACTTGGGTTGAGACAAAAAGAACCTGAGGTCAAAATGTTCAGAATTACGTTTTCATTTTTTAAGAAAAGGGAAAAAACATGTTTTTCAGCAGATGCATGAGAACTTCCTTTTGAAGCAACCTTTCAAACAGTTTGTGGACGGTTCTTTTCAATGGGCTCTGGCTTGTGAAGTCAGGCGCTAGACCTCATGTGTCCTAAAGCGCCGGGGACCAGGACTTGTGTCCTCAGCGGCAATCCGCTGTGAAGCCGGGGGCCGTGCAGAGTGCCGGACGCGGGTGTGTGGCCTGGCTCTGGTCTGGTCTTGTCCACCCCTGGCTCAGCCTGTCCTGTGGGCCCAGCTCCCAGCCCTGGCCCGGACCGGGGGAGCCAGCAGGAGTTTCTTTCTTGGCGGAAGGCCTGAGAAGCGTGGCGGCTACACTGGGGAGAGGTAGGCGGTTGGTGAGGGCGTTTGTTGTCCTGGAGGGCCCTGCGTCTTCCTTTCACATCCCTCCTCCTCTGTCGTAAAGGGAGGCTGGTGGAGATCATTGGGAGTAAGGTGTAAAAGAAAAGCCTCCTCTTCTCCACACATCCCCGTTTTCTACCATTGAAACCGTAATAGGACTTCTCTGTGAATGCTCCGTGTCATTGAGCATAACCGTGCAGGGCTGCAGGCCCGCTGGCCCCGCGTGCGTCCTCCGCCATGCTCCCCCGCGGCTGCAGTGAGCGCCGGTGTGAATATTCCGCATGGCTCCATAGCTCCGGTTTCCTTTTCAGTTCCTGGGAGTGGAACCTCTGAGGGGATGGTCGGGATGGCTAGAGGCTCTTCAGCAAGTCTGTGCCTGTGTGTTGCCTCTGGTGGTTGGGTGCCTGTCTTGGCAGCACCCCTGTGGGACTGAAGAGTGCATGGGAGGCTGGCTCTGGCTCCCTCACACTCGGTAGGTGCAGAGGAACCTCGCTGCTCAAACTTAAATCATTCCAGAAGGCGGTTCAAAGGAGAGATTTGTTTGAAAACCGAATCTTTTTTCCCATTAGAAGAAATGTAAATTGAATTAATCCATTCCAGACCCTCAAATGATTCCCTGTTTTACCCTTTCTCATATACAGTACATGTCTAATGTGCCGTTTAATCTATAAATTTATGGAACCACCCCCTACTAGCCTTAAACGGATCCCTTTCAGCTCTCAGTCCAGAGGTGCAGCATCTTAGCTTGTCCACATATCTCTACCTCCCAAATGCAGTCACTGGCTAACTGCTATTCCTTTATCCAAATCAACAAGTTTTCCTACCTCTTCCATTTGCCTGTGAGCTTTGTTTTGAGCACTTTCACATCCTTAGCCACATGAGCACTCTTTTTTTAAAAAATATATTTTTATTGATTTCAGAGAGGAAGGGAGAGGGAGAGAGAGAAACATCAGTGATGAGAGAGAATTGTTGATTGGCTGCCTCCTGCATGCCTCCTATTGGGGATCAAGCCCACAACCTGGGCATGTGCCCTTGACCGGAATCAAACTCGGGACCCTTCAGTCTGTAGGGTCTATCCACTAAGCCACACCAGCTAGGGCAGCATGAGCACTCTTGATGGCCTCTTTATGTTTTAAAATTGCGCTGATTGTCCATTGC